AGCTGTGCCAGGTCTAGTGGCTGCGTCGTGCTCGTGTCGGTCGCTGTCCCACCCTGCCCTCCTCTGGCACCACCGCCTTGGTCACCCGTCCCTCTCTCGTCTCCGCGCTATGTCCAGTCAGCGTCTTGTCTTAGGCCTCCCCCGCGACCTCCCGCCGCTCCCGCCGTCCCCCGCTCCTCCGTGCGGTCCTTGTGTCCAGGGTCGGCTGCGCGCCACTCCTCACTCCTCCTCCCTTCGTCCAGCCTCCGAGCCCTTTGAGACACTCCACTTAGACGTCTGGGGCCCCGCTCCCCGGCTTGGACCTGAGCGAGAGAGCTTCTTCCTAGTGGTCGTTGACGACTACTCTCGGTACACCACCGTGTTCCCTTTGGCGAAGAAGTCCGACGTGACTTCTACGCTGATCCGGTGGCTGCTCGCCACCGAGAGTACTCGTCGTCGTCGTGTCAGTTGTCTCCACTCCGACCGTGGGGGTTAGTTTCGCTCCGGCATTCTCGCCAGATTCTGTGCTGAGCAGGGCATCACCCAGTCCTGGACTCTTCCAGACTCTCCACAGCAGAATGGGGTTGCTGAGCGCCGGCTAGGCCTGGTCATGGAGATTGCCCGCACCTCTATGATCCACGCCCGCGCGCCCCATTTTCTGTGGCCCTACGCGGCTCGGTATGCCGCTCACCAGCTGAACCTCTGGCCTCGCGTCTCTCGGCCAGGGGCTTCACCGACCAGTCTTTGGACAGGGTCCCCTGGTGTTGCGTCGAGGTTTAGTGTCTGGGGCTGCTTGGCGCTTGTCCGCGACACCTCTGCGGACAAGCTCTCACCTCGCGGCGTCCCCTGTGTCTTCCTTGGTTTCCCTGAGGCCTCCTCTGACTTCACCTTTTACCACCCTCCCTCCCACCGGTTCTTTGACTCTCGTGACGTCAGTTTTAACGAGTCCGTCCCCTTCTACGTCCGGTACCCCTGTCGAGGTCTCCCGGTTCCCCCCCCTCCCCTCTTCCTCGCCCCAGCTCCTCCTCCTCCTGCTCCCTCTCCTCCGGTACCCCCCCCGGTTCCCGCTCCGTCAGGTGTGTCGCAGGCTACCCCCCCTCCCTCGGTCCCCCCCCAGGTCTCTCCTCCTTCCCCACAGTCGTCCTCACAGCCTCCGCAGCAGCCGTCGGCGCTTCCTCTCCCGGCCACTGCGGACTCTGAGGGTGTTGGTGCTCGAGGTGAGGGCTCTGGCGGTGCCGGTTCTGGGGGTGTTGGAGTTGGAGCTGAGCGTGCACTTGCCGCAGCTGCACGTCCCGAGCGTGTTGGAGTCCGTGGTGGTGCTGGAGCTGGTGGTGTTTCTGGAGCTGGAGAGTCTGGGGCTGGTGCTGGTGCCACTGGCGGCGCCACGACTGGGGGTGCGGGTACACCTCCTACAGGTACTGGTCGTGCTGCCGCAGGGGGTCCTCGCTCTGGGGGTGCTCAGCCGGGTCCTGTCGAGGGTGGAGCCGGTTCTTCTTCGTCGTCTCCTGACACCACTCCTCCTCCTCACCCCTACCCGACTCGTTACCAGGCCCTTCGTCTTCTAGAGCGTGAGGAGCAGCAGCGTTTGGAACGTGAGAGGTCGGAGGTTCAGCAGCGGGTGGAGCATGAGCGGTTGGAGTTTCAGCAGCAGCAGCAGCAGCAGCAGCAGCAGCAGCAGCAGCAGCAGCAGCAGCAGCAGCAGCCGCAGCCACAGCCACAGCAGCAGCAGCAGCAGCAGCAGCAGCAGCAGCAGCAGCAGCAGCAGCAGCAGCAGCAGCAGCAGCAGCAGCAGCAGCAGCCGCCGCAGCTGCCGGAGCAGCCTCCGGCCCCTGTTTCTGGCCTTCGGGCCCTTGGTCTCCCCTCCTCTCCTCCTGTGTTCGGTCCCACGTTTCCTCCTCCGGACTCCACTCCGGCTGTCTTCCCTCGTTCTCAGTCTCCTCCGTCCCCCCCTCCTCTCGCCCACACTTGGGCCTCTCGCCCTCCTCGTGCTCGTCCCTCGTCCCCTGTCACTGACCTCCGTACCGTGTTGTTTCGTCCTCGTCCTCCTCGTTCTCCTCCGTCTGTCCTTCCTCGTCCTCCTGAGTCTTCCCTCACTGCCTCCCTGTCCACTCCGGTCACTGACTACTACCGCACGTACCGCCCCACTCTCTCTCGTGTTCTCGCCTCTCTTGTTACAGACCCTCGTGCCTCTCCTTCCTCCGTCGTGGTCCTCACTGCCGCTGTCACTGAATTTACTGCTACGCGTCGCCTTGACTACGCCACTCGAGTTGTGGCAGCTCCTCCTGTCCGTCCTCTGTCCGCCGGGGGTGTGTGTGCCCTTGGCTGTGACGTCCTAGAGGACAGACAGTTTGAGCTAGAGTTCCTGGCAGCTGCTTCGCCTCATCTCTGTGCCATGCTGCTCACTCCTGAGGGAGACTTTGACGCTCCTGACATACCTACTCCTCGCACTTACGCTGAGGCAGTGTCAGGGCCTTGGGCCTCTCAGTGGAGAGCTGCCATGGACGCAGAGATGGCATCCTACAGGTCCACAGGCACTTACGTTGACGAGGTTCCCCCCCCAGGGGCGAACATTGTTGACGGCATGTGGATCTTCAAGGTGAAGCGGCCGCCGGGATCTCCCCCAGTCTTCAAGGCACGCTACGTGGCTAGAGGGTTCAGTCAGCGCGAGGGGGTTGACTTCTTTCAGACCTTCGCGCCCACCCCGAAGATCACCACTCTTCGGGTGTTACTGCACGTAGCAGCGCAGAGAGACTACGAGCTACACTCTCTTGACTTCTCCACTGCCTTCCTCCAGGGCTGCTTACACGAGGAGATCTGGCTGCGTCGTCCTCCGGGCTTCACTGGCACTTTCCCGCCTGGGACCCAGTGGAGCCTCAGACGACCGGTCTACGGTCTCCGCCAGGCACCCCGTGAGTGGCACGACACTCTCCGCTCTACTCTCTCCGACCTCGGGTTTGAGCCGTCTTCCGCCGACCCGTCGCTGTTTGTTCGTCGTGGCCGTACACCTTTCTTCGTCCTAGTCTACGTTGACGACTTGGTTTTTGCCACGGCCGACATAGCTGCACTGGCGGAGGTGAAGTCCGAACTGCAGAAGAGACACACCTGCACTGACCTTGGGGAACTGCGCCGCTACCTTGGCCTGCAGATTTCCAGGGACAGAGCCGCTCGCACCATCACTCTCACTCAGTCACACATGGTGCAGCAGGTTCTTCAGCGGTTCGGGCTTCAGGACTCTTCTCCTGCCCCCACTCCTCTTGCTGTAGACCACAGACTCACTGGACCTTTTCCTGACGAGCCGTTCGAGCCCAGTGGTCCCTACGCAGAGCTGGTGGGCTGCCTCATGTACCTGATGACGTGCACTCGCCCGGACCTCGCCTTCCCCCTTAGCATCCTGTCTCGCTTTGTTGCGACTGGGAGACACCGTCCTGTTCACTGGGCGGCGGCTAAGAGGGTGGCGAAGTACCTTGGCGCGACATCAGGCATGGGGCTTGTACTTGGAGGGACACAGCCAGTTGTACTCACCGGTCACTGTGACTCTTCCTACGCTGACGACGTTGAGACTCAGAGGTCTACGCAGGGTTACTGTTTCAGCCTGGGTTCTAGAGCTGTTTCGTGGAGGTCTACTCGGTCCTCCTCTGTTGCGACTTCTACCGCAGAGGCCGAGATCTACGCTGGGGCCCTTGCTGCTCAGGAGCTACGCTGGTTGACCTTTTTAGTAGTAGTAGTAGTAGTAGTAGTAGTAGTAGTAGTAGTAGTAGTAGTAGTAGTAGTAGTAGTAGTAGTAGTAGTAGTAGTAGTAGTAGTAGTAGTAGTAGTAGTAGTAGTAGTAGTAGTAGTAGTAGTAGTAGTAGTAGTAGTAGTAGTAGTAGTAGTAGTAGTAGTAGTAGTAGTAGTAGTAGTAGTAGTAGTAGTAGTAGTAGTAGTAGTAGTAGTAGTAGTAGTAGTAGCAGCATGAATGTAGGCAAAGCTGTATGAGAAGTAGAGTAGGCTTGCTTCAATATGACTACTACTAGGGCTACAACAAGCACAATCAGACTTCTACTTGAGTGTACTCTGAAGTTTCAGACTATTTTTTTAACACACTCTGACCTTTCAGACTTTTTTTTTAAACAACTCTGAGGATTTCAGACTAATACTGAGAGAGAGTCTGATGAATCAGACAGGCCAAAAACGAATCTGAGGGCCTGGCTGGAAGGCACAGTGATCCAACCTTAGCGGTTTCGGTGGTCTTATAAGGCACATTGAATCAATCTAAGCAGGTGTTGAGCCGTTCAAATATCACCGGCTGCTGTGCCTGCCATACATGTCAGTAGTGGAAATGGTTTTCAGATATTATTGGCTGCCGCAGATGTAGAGAAACGTTACAAGTGTGTTGTGGGCTGACTCAAATATTATTGCCATGCAGCATCTGTCGCATCCGTTCATAGCTGGACTGACAGTGGGATGTGAAGCAGCCCAAGCTAGTTTTGAGCTGTGTAAGCAATTAATGGCTGCTACAACATTGGCTGCCGCATCATTGGCTGCTGCATCATAGGCTGCTGCATCATAGGCTGCTGCATCATAGGCTGCTGCATCATAGGCTGCTGCATCATCGGCTGCTGCATCATTGCCTGCTGCATCATTGCCTGCTGCATCATTGGCTGCTGCATCATTGGCTGCTGCATCATTGACTGCTGCACCTGTTGTGTCTCTTAGCGGTTTGACCCACAGTCAGCTGTGACACGACCCACATGAGTGATCTTTAAAAGTGCATTTGGAGGGACCGTGAACGCAGAAGGGACTTTTACCGCTGGGGTGATCTCTCAAAGTGCATTGCGTGTGACTGCCATCGCCCATGCTAGGAGTGACTGCTACTGCTGTAGCGAGCAGTGGAAGTGCATTTGCGAGAGGTGGGCCGGGAGTAATTGCTATCGTCTAATAGAACGGTGGAAGTGCATGTGGGAGAGGTGGGCGGCGAGCAGGTGAGTGTGTTGGAGTGAGTGCTACAGCTGTAACAAGCAGTGGAAGTGGGCAAATGATTGCTAGTGCCCGAGGGAGCGGTGGAAGCTTATTTGGGAGAGGTGGGCGGCGAGCAGGTGGGCATCCACTGGCTTCTGCAGCACACCGTCAAACCCCCCCTCTGCACACCTCTGCACCACTCCGCGATCCACATCTGCTGTCAGAGCCACTATGGGCACCCGCAGGGAGACTGGTTGAGCACTCAAAGACGCAGCAGCAGCAGCAACAGCAGCAGCGGCACTTAACGAAGCAGCAGAAGCAAAGTTGGACGCTTCTAGGGGAGGGACTAGCAGAGGAGACAAACCAGCCGTGGAAGCCCCCTCAATTCGCCCTTCTCCTCCCACCTCCCGTGGCAAAAAAATCTCTCCCCTGCCCCCTCTCCCCCCCATGCGTCCCCCCCAGTCCCCTCCCCAACTCACACCCCGCCTGTGCAACTTTCTTGGCCCTGCTACTCCCCGCCCAAACGCCACTGCAGCTGTTGCACGCCCTGCTGTTCCCCTCCCTGCGCCCTCCCAACTGCCTCCCTGCTGCAGAAGTCCCACTGTCCCACTCTGTTCCTCTCTGCTCGCCATGCCTCCGTGCCTTGCCGTTGCTCCTGAAGCCACTGCACCTGTTGCAGAACCTCCTCCTGCTGCTGCTGCTGCTGCGTTTTGAGGCGCCCCTATATCCGTTGCAAGCCCTGCTACTGCTACTGTCGGCCCTGCTGCTGTTGCTGCTGTTCCCACATCGGTCATCAGTTGGGCCCCTGTTGCCCTCTCTGACACAAGCTTCCTCTCAAGAGCTCGAATCGCCTCTGCCACTGCGAACCTGTTATGGGGACAAGAAGGGGAACGTTTGACTTTGATTGGTACGTGGTAGCTTGATTGGCGAGCACGAGGCATAAGCATGAGGCATAAGCACGAGGCATAAGCACGAGGCATAAGCACGAGGCATAAGCACGAGGCATAAGCACGAGGCATAAGCATGAGGCATAAGCATGAGGCATAAGCATGAGGTATAAGCACGAGGCATAAGCACGAGGCATAAGGATGAGATGAGATAACAACCATGAGACATAAGCGTCACTCATACCACTCAACCTCCATGGCGTGACGGCAAGGCATACCCATGAGGCATAACCATACAGGCATGCGTGACTCACCACTCACCATCCATGCCCACCACTCACCACCACTCACAACCACTCACCCGTCCATGCCCGGCATCTGCAGGTCCATGAGAACCAAGTCGAACGCATGACATATTGATACACCCCCTTCTTCATTCCCTCCTCTTCCATTTCTTTCTCTTTCATTCCCTTCACCATCATCTGCTCCTCTCATATCCCCTCCTCTTTCACTTGCTCCCCTCGCCCCATAACCATCTCTACAATCCGCTACCGCTTCTGCACTGCTCCCAGCCATCCCTACCAGCATCCCCTTGCCTCTACTTCCAACCAACTCCCCGACCGCCATCCCCTTGCCTTTACTCTCAACCATCTCCCCAGCTCCCCCGGCTCCTGCTCTCATTAATTCACCAACCGCCCCTCTTGCTTCCAGCACCCCATTCCCAACCACTGCACCCACTTCCTCCCCTCTCGCCTCCTCCTCCCCTCTCCCAACTACCAGCCCAGCAGTGATCAAATCTACCGCCTCCTCCCCTCGGGAGGCAGTAGTCACAAGCGCCCCCCAGCGGGCGAGGGAGCGGCGGGCCACGAGGAGGTTGACGGGCGTGTCGTCCACCACCAGCACTCGCAGCCCCCCCACCCACGCCCGCGTCACCGCCTCATCCGCCGCTGCCCGCAGGCCGGTGGTTGCAGCGGTGATTTTGGCTACAGATGCAGATCGCTGGATTCTCTCTCTCGCTCTACTGCTAGCTGCTTTTCTTTCGATCACTGCCAAGCCCTCTCCTGCACTGCCTACCCTGCCCATCCCTGCTAGTGATCGCTCATGTTGTTTACGCGGCTGCAATAGCTGCTGCTGCTGCTGCTGCTGCTGCTGCTGGTTGATGTTCTGTTGAACCACCTGAGAATACTCCTGGCTGTGCTGCGAAGAAAGAGCATTCTCTTTGCACCCCTCCCTTGATTCTGACTCCCGGTTCTGCGTATTACGGCCGACTTCTGAACAGACTCCTGAGCCCGTCTCCTGTTCACGAGCACTGCTGGAACCACCTGGAGAATCACCTGACCCTGTTTCCAGACTCTCACAGAACCATGACGCCTCCCCTTGCTGCTGCTGACTCTGCAACTCTTGCGATTCTAACACTTCTGGTTTCTCATCCGAGCAGCGTTCTTGTATTGAGGGAACGGCCACGGGCACGGAAAACGCCACAGTGGACCCACAGCCAGGTTGGGAAGCAAAGGCAATCTCTCCCTTCATTAGAGTCACCTGCCAGTTGTTAGGAAAAAAGTCACTTACACTCAGAAGTTTTGCATGATCCCCTATGAAATGTGCAATAGGAGCGATTTCCTCACTCCAGATTATGCTTTCAAATGCTCAGGATTCCTACAGTGATGCTTGTACGCTGATGTCACTATTCTGACCCCTAAACAACATATCAAGTGCCAAAAAGAAAGCCGAAGCAATGTTACTGTGTGTGTGTGTGTGTGTGTGTGTGTGTGTGTGTGTGTGTGTGTGTGTTGTGTGTGTGTGTGTGTGTGTGTGTGTGTGTGTGTGTGTGTGTGTGTGTGTGTGTGTGTGTGTGTGTGTGTGTGTGTGTGTGTGTGTGTGTGTGTGTGTGTGTGTGTGTGTGTGTGTGTGTGTGTGTGTGTGTGTGTGTGTGTGTGTGTGTGTGTGTGTGTGTGTGTGTGTGTGTGTGTGTGTGTGTGTGTGTGTGTGTGTGTGTGTGTGTGTGTGTGTGTGTGTGTGTGTGTGTGTGTGTGTGTGTGTGTGTGTGTGTGTGTGTGTGTGTGTGTGTGTGTGTGTGTGTGTGTGTGTGTGTGTGTGTGTGTGTGTGTGTGTTGTGTGTGTGTGTGTGTGTGTGTGTGTGTGTGTGTGTGTGTGTGTGTGTGTGTGTGTGTGTGTGTGTGTGTGTGTGTGTGTGTGTGTGTGTGTGTGTGTGTGTGTGTGTGTGTGTGTGTGTGTGTGTGTGTGTGTGTGTGTGTGTGTGTGTGTGTGTGTGTGTGTGTGTGTGTGTGTGTGTGTGTGTGTGTGTGTGTGTGTGTGTGTGTGTGTGTGTGTGTGTGTGTGTGTGTGTGTGTGTGTGTGTGTGTGTGTGTGTGTGTGTGTGTGTGTGTGTGTGTGTGTGTGTGTGTGTGTGTGTGTGTGTGTGTGTGTGTGTGTGTGTGTGTGTGTGTGTGTGTGTGTGTGTGTGTGTGTGTGTGTGTGTGTGTGTGTGTGTGTGTGTGTGTGTGTGTGTGTGTGTGTGTGTGTGTGTGTGTGTGTGTGTGTGTGTGTGTGTGTGTGTGGTGTGTGTGTGTGTGTGTGTGTGTGTGTGTGTGTGTGTGTGTGTGTGTGTGTGTGTGTGTGTGTGTGTGTGTGTGTGTGTGTGTGTGTGTGTGTGTGTGTGTGTGTGTGTGTGTGTGTGTGTGTGTGTGTGTGTGTGTGTGTGTGTGTGTGTGTGTGTGTGTGTGTGTGTGTGTGTGTGTGTGTGTGTGTGTGTGTGTGTGTGTGTGTGTGTGTGTGTGTGTGTGTGTGTGTGTGTGTGTGTGTGTGTGTGTGTGTGTGTGTGTGTGTGTGTGTGTGTGTGTGTGTGTGTGTGTGTGTGTGTGTGTGTGTGTGTGTGTGTGTGTGTGTGTGTGTGTGTGTGTGTGTGTGTGTGTGTGTGTGTGTGTGTGTGTGTGTGTGTGTGTGTGTGTGTGTGTGTGTGTGTGTGTGTGTGTGTGTGTGTGTGTGTGTGTGTGTGTGTGTGTGTGTGTGTGTGTGTGTGTGTGTGTGTGTGTGTGTGTGTGTGTGTGTGTGTGTGTGTGTGTGTGTGTGTGTGTGTGTGTGTGTGTGTGTGTGTGTGTGTGTGTGTGTGTGTGTGTGTGTGTGTGTGTGTGTGTGTGTGTGTGTGTGTGTGTGTGTGTGTGTGTGTGTGTGTGTGTGTGTGTGTGTGTGTGTGTGTGTGTGTGTGTGTGTGTGTGTGTGTGTGTGTGTGTGTGTGTGTGTGTGTGTGTGTGTGTGTGTGTGTGTGTGTGTGTGTGTGTGTGTGTGTGTGTGTGTGTGTGTGTGTGTGTGTGTGTGTGTGTGTGTGTGTGTGTGTGTGTGTGTGTGTGTGTGTGTGTGTGTGTGTGTGTGTGTGTGTGTGTGTGTGTGTGTGTGTGTGTGTGTGTGTGTGTGTGTGTGTGTGTGTGTGTGTGTGTGTGTGTGTGTGTGTGGTGTGTGTGTGTGTGTGTGTGTGTGTGTGTGTGTGTGTGTGTGTGTGTGTGTGTGTGTGTGTGTGTGTGTGTGTGTGTGTGTGTGTGTGTCTGTGTGTGTGTCTGTGTGTGTGTGTCTGTGTGTGTGTGTGTGTGTGTGTGTGTGTGTGTGTGTGTGTGTGTGTGTGTGTGTGTGTGTGTGTGTGTGTGTGTGTGTGTCTGTGTGTGTGTGTGTGTGTGTGTGTGTGTGTGTCTGTGTCTGTGTCTGTGTCTGTGTGTGTGTGTGTGTGTGTGCGTGTGTGTGTGAGAGCGTGCTTTCGTGCGTGCAAGTGTGCGTGTACCTCTATGTGTGTGTGCGTGTGCCTCTGTGTGTACGTGCACGCGTGAGTGCGTGTGTGCATGTGTGTGCATGTGTGCCCATGTGTGTGCATGTGTGAGCATGTGTGAGCATGTGTGTGCATGTGTGAGCATGTGTGTGCATGTGTGTGCATGTGTGTACATGTGTGTGCATGTGTGTGCATGTGTGTGCATGAGGATGCGTGGTGTTTTCATGCAATCCATTCCAATCCAACCATGAGCGAGCGGCCCTTTACATTCAAAAGCAACACACCAAATAAAGGAGAAGAGGAAGAAGAAGAAGAAGAAGAAGAAGAGGAAGAGGAAGAGGAAGAGGAAGAGGAAGAATTATGAACTGGCAGGCAGCTCACCATCTGGTGCATGAGCACGAGCCCAAGCGATGCTCCGGATCCTCTCCCTGCCTCGTGCAACTCCTGCATGGTGGGTGTCATGCCATGGAGTGTGTGGGGTTAGAGCAAGGAGAAGATTCACTAGATGGAATGGGATGGCATGGGATGGCATGGAAAGGCATGGGGTGAAAGGAAAGGGATGGCATTGGTGGGAGAGAGCACCAACGACAACAACAACTCACTGCGAGCGACAAGTCAGAATGAGAAGTCCCAGTGCTGGTGTGAACGAGACGTCTCAAAACACTTCTTCATACAGAAAGCATGGAAAGGCATGGGATGGCATGGGTGGGAGAGAGCGTTAATGACAACAACAACTCACTGCGAGCGAAAAGTGCGAAGCCTCCTTGCTGGTGTGAACTCCGAGCAGAGACAGCGGCAGGCCGCATCCCGAGTCGCGACACGACACCACCAGCACACCCGACCGATCCCCTTCCCCATCCTCGGGACTCCCCTCCCTTGATCCACAAAAGGTGTTGCTGGTCACACTTGCTGCTGCTGCTGGCAACCTCCCGAAAGCGTCCTTCAGGGAACCCCATGCAGAGCAAGACCAGGCAGCCTTCCAGCGTGTGAGAGTGGAAGTCGGTGGGTGAGGGGCGGCTGTGGGAAGTCCTGGAGGAGAAAGGCAAGTGCAAAGGGCGGGGAGAGAGGGAATGAGTGTGGAAGCGGGTGTGTGCACGGCTGCAGCTGGCAATCTCCTGAAAGCGTCTTTCGGCCAGACCCATGATGAGCAAGACCAGTTAGCAGCAGTCCAGGTGGTGGGAGTAGAAGCGGGTGTGTGAGGGGCGGATGTGGAACGGCCTGGAGGAGAAACGCGAATGCAAAGGGAGGGGGCGAGAATGGATAACGGTGTAACAGAGTGAATGAGGGTTATTTAGATAGTGACCTCTGTAAATGTCAGTGCTTACAAGGTCGCTTACCCTGGAGATGAAGGGTGTCTTGCAAGCTTGTTCCTTGTGGCAGCAGGGACACCCGCACTGTCACGTGGCCTTGCTCCGTGAACTTCACTGCGTTATCTGAAATGAACCGAGGTGGTAGTGTACAGCAAAGAGTAAAATAATATCATTCGTCATGCATATCTGAGGATTAGAAAATGAACACTCAACTACTGCTAGTTAGTGTCGATTGAGGAAGGCGAGTTGGCACCCATATTTATCGCATAAGTATTGGGATGGATTGGCCCAGCTCAGGCCAGCCGTTTTGATGGCGTGTCCAATCAACATGAGTCGTACTTGATTCTATTCTTTTTTATTTTCAAGCCAAATCAGTCAGTGCACCACAGCTGTCAAGGACCAATGTCCCTCTTCCTAAGTATTTCAAACCTCACAATAAAAAACCGTTGACAGGGAAATCAAACAGTACATCCTTTCCTTAACGTAAGATTGTCTCTTTTGTTTTACCTGCCCAATCGTTTTCCAAGCACAAGCTCCAAGCTTAATGCACTAACGAGATAGCGCAGTACACTCTTATCAGCCGACCAGTGCTCGGATCGGTGCTTCGCAATCGCAACAAAGCGAGCAAGGATGCTGAGGGGATATGCGAGAACTGAGCGAGTGCAAGTCATGAGGTACATGAGGCACCCCACCAGCTCTGCGTACTGACCACTTGGCTCAGCCGGCTTATCAGCCAAGAACCGAAAGCTTATGGTCAACAGACAGAGGAGTGCGCTGTGTAAAGAAGAACTGCACAGTTCATGTTCAATTCAACCACCCGCTGCTTTGAAGCAGCTCGAGCTGAATCAGTTGGGCTTTGGCACGTGGTCATGACTATCCGCACACGTACCAATGATTTCTTTGAGAACCTTGGAGAGGTGCATCGGGTCCGCAATAATGTAATTCGGAACACCGTCGTCCACACTGCCGCAAACTAAAGGAGAAGGAGAAACAAGGTGGGTGGAAATCCAAAAGAAAAAATGGACTTAAAGGGTGCTCAATGCTGTACTTTTGAGGAGCACACGAGCGGGTGTTTCAACACAAATAACACATATTTTTCAAGGGTAGGTTACATTCATTCATATACATGTGTTGAGAGACAACTAGTTTTAAGCATGCCAGAGATTGAATTCAAGGGAAAAACTTGTTCACTCACACGCAATGCCTTTGGAGCGCGCCTCCTCTGCGTGCCAGCCCAATGCTGCATCAAGCCACTCCCGCACGTCAATCACCGTCTCATCCACCACCGCCTTGCCTGCCTCCAGCTTCGCCAGGTCCAACACGCGGTTGACCAGATGCAGTGCATCCATTGCACACCCTCGTGCGGTGAGGAGGTCTGATAGCTGAGGGGGTTGGAGACTCCTGTCTGCTAGAGCATCGAGCATGCCTGGTGGGAGAGAGAGGGGTGGAGAAAGGAATGTGTATGGCATCAAGGAGAAAGTGACACGGATAGGCCTCACGAGCAAGGGTTGAGGAAATGGGGTTGATGTTAGCAAAGTCTTAGACCACCATTCTATGACTTTCATGTGACTGGAACCAACAACAGCTGTGACAATGCAGCAGACGGATTCTGTTGTTGCACGCACGCACACGCACAGAAGCGTACCAATGATTCCCATCATCGGTGTCCTGAGCTCGTGAGACATGCACGCAACAAACATGCTGTTTGACGCCTCCGCTCCCTTCCGAATCTTCTTCACGCGAAGAATAAAACAAACTCGGTGATAATGCATGAACACTGTACGTACCAACGATCCCCATCATCGGTGTCCGGAGCTCGTGAGACATGCACGCCACAAACATGCTCTTTGATGCCTCTGCATCCTCTGCTTCCTTCCTCAGTTTGTCTGCAACTGCCATCTGCTGCTGCGTCTGGAAGAACTGGGCTCGCTGAATCCGAGCCGCCACCACCACGAGCAGCACGAGGAGGAGGGCGAAGAGGGTGATGAGGATGGGGATGCCCCACGATTGCCACGCGTTGGGAGGCTCTGTGTTCCTGGAAGAGGGGGAGTAATAGGAGAGGGCATGTTGGTTATATTAGACAGTTAGATTTTGCATATGATCTTTTACGTTATGAACTCGCAAAAAACAGCCTTTTCACGAAAAAAAAAAAAACACCGCTGTTAAGGGAACATGGACAGGACAAGGATTTCTTACAACAGTAACAAGCGAACATACATCTGTATATGAATGTATTCAACATCTCACCTGCACCAGGCCTCGTACTTTCTCACGCCCGCTCCCAGCTGATCCAAAGGTACCACCGCCGGTGATTCCCAGGGGCGCGTTTCGGAGAGAGGCGAGGGCAGCATGTTGGGGCGAACGTCGTTGGGGCGGAAGTATATGTGCGGTGGGACTGGTGAGACGATGGCGAAGAGAGAGGAGCGGTCTGTGACATCGTACATCTCAAACGATTTTGATGAGTCTAGATGGAAGGAAAGGGAGGGAGGGGAGGTGGAGAGGAAGGGTGGGGGGGATGGGGATTCGAAGGAAAGGTTGGGAAGAGAGGAAGGAGAAGGACAAGGCCTCACACAGAGCACGAGAGTTGGAGCCAAAGGTCATAATTGACCTATGATGTAATGTGACAACAATGGGCGCAGACAGGCACTTCACTTTCAAAGAGAGAAGACAGGCCTGGTGAGTACACTAGGTGTGCACTGTCCTGTCCTTCATACTGTCCTTCATACTGTCCTTCATACTGTCCTTCATACTGTCCTTCATACTGTCCTTCATACTGTCCTTCATACTGTCCTTCATACTGTCCTTCATACTGTCCTTCATACTGTCCTTCATACTGTCCTTCATACTGTCCTTCATACTGTCCTTCATACTGTCCTTCATACTGTCCTTCATACTGTCCTTCATACTGTCCTTCATACTGTCCTTCATACTGTCCTTCATACTGTCCTTCATACTGTCCTTCATACTGTCCTTCATACTGTCCTTCATACTGTCCTTCATACTGTCCTTCATACTGTCCTTCATACTGTCCCTTCATACTGTCCTTCATACTGTCCTTCATACTGTCCTTCATACTGTCCTTCATACTGTCCTTCATACTGTCCTTCATACTGTCCTTCATACTGTCCTTCATACTGTCCTTCATACTGTCCTTCATACTGTCCTTCATACTGTCCTTCATACTGTCCTTCATACTGTCCTTCATACTGTCCTTCATACTGTCCTTCATACTGTCCTTCATACTGTCCTTCATACTGTCCTTCATACTGTCCTTCATACTGTCCTTCATACTGTCCTTCATACTGTCCTTCATACTGTCCTTCATACTGTCCTTCATACTGTCCTTCATACTGTCCTTCATACTGTCCTTCATACTGTCCTTCATACTGTCCTTCATACTGTCCTTCATACTGTCCTTCATACTGTCCTTCATACTGTCCTTCATACTGTCCTTCATACTGTCCCTTCATACTGTCCTTCATACTGTCCTTCATACTGTCCTTCATACTGTCCTTCATACTGTCCTTCATACTGTCCTTCATACTGTCCTTCATACTGTCCTTCATACTGTCCTTCATACTGTCCCTTCATACTGTCCTTCATACTGTCCTTCATACTGTCCTTCATACTGTCCTTCATACTGTCCTTCATACTGTCCTTCATACTGTCCTTCATACTGTCCTTCATACTGTCCTTCATACTGTCCTTCATACTGTCCTTCATACTGTCCTTCATACTGTCCTTCATACTTCCCTTCATACTGTCCTTCATACTGTCCTTCATACTGTCCTTCATACTGTCCTTCATACTGTCCTTCATACTGTCCTTCATACTGTCCTTCATACTGTCCTTCATACTGTCCTTCATACTGTCCTTCATACTGTCCTTCATACTGTCCTTCATACTGTCCTTCATACTGTCCTTCATACTGTCCTTCATACTGTCCTTCATACTGTCCTTCATACTGTCCTTCATACTGTCCTTCATACTGTCCTTCATACTGTCCTTCATACTGTCCTTCATACTGTCCTTCATACTGTCCTTCATACTGTCCTTCATACTGTCCTTCATACTGTCCTTCATACTGTCCTTCATACTGTCCTTCATACTGTCCTTCATACTGTCCTTCATACTGTCCTTCATACTGTCCATCCTTCATACTGTCCTTCATACTGTCCTTCACTCACCAGGTGCATACAACTTTTCCAGGACCTTCTGTGGAATGGATGTCACGTCAACGGATGCAGCAAGGCAAGCGTGTACAGTACGCTATCGTTGCAGCAGCTGACTAGCTCATGTGTCTAATGCAGTGGTGAGTACACCAGGTGCGTTTCCCTTCACTCACCAGGTGCATACAGCTCCTCCAGGACCTTCTGTGCGATGGAAGTCACGTCAACAGAGGCAGCAAGCGTCCCATACACTGTTGAAACAGCCGCCCTGCTTGTGTTGGTCGGAGGAGTGACACTGCGCCGAAGAGGAAAACCCAAGCCTGCAGCGGCGACAATATGAGGGTTGAAACGATGTGAGGGTTGAGTTGAAACAATGTGAGGGTTGAGTTGAAACGATGTGAGGGTTGATTGAATTGAAACGATATGAGGGCACAACAATAAGGTTTCGTGAACTTGACTAGAAGCCCAAGTGCCCCATACGCTGTTGAGGCAGGGTTTCAAAACGCAAGTGCGTTGATTGCTTGTTAGATCTCATCACTGCAATTAAGCCTTTTCAAACGATAAAAAAAAAAATAGTCACCAAACCTGCCATATTCTCGACTCCAAAGCCTAATAGCTGGGACTTACCAAACCCAGCATGGCCTGAAGAATTAGCCATGGGATACGGCCACGTGTAAAGCGCCTTTCCCGCCACTGCAAGGGGAATCTCATTGACGAATCGCTTCATGAGGTCGACGTGCCATGAGCCATTGGCTGCCTCGACTGTGGAGAAATCGAGAATCTTGGGGCAGTACATGGGGCGGTGGGCGCTGACGTTCCTAGTGTTGTCCTTTATGGTACCGTATAGTCGCTCAAAGGTCGCTCTGAAGCAGTGACGTTCGTGGGGTGAATTGGGATTTGGAATGAAGGAGGAACAAGGGAATCAGAATGGGGAGTGGAGAGAATCACTTCGTAAGGTCGATGTGCCATTGAGGCATTGGCTGCCAGCCATTGAGGCATTGGCACTGTTACTCAAAGGAAGCCCTGCATTGATGTGTGCGGGTGGGATCAGGTGGGAAGGGAGGGCAAAGAGCGCTTCATGAGGTTTTGAGACGTCTCAAAACACTCCTTCTTTCACGTCGCTTCATGAGGTCGGTGTGCCATGAGGCATTGCTTGTTGCCACGACTGTGGAGGAATCGAGGATCTTGGGGCAGTAGATGGGGCGGTGGGCGGTGATGTTCCTAGTGTTGTCCTTTATTTATGTACAAGGATGTGGGTTCAAACCGCAGCAAGCGGATGTGAGGGTGGGCGGTGACGTTCCCAGTGCTGTCCTTTATTTATGGTACTGTATAGTCCCTCAAAGGTCGCCCTGCAATGATGTGTGGGGGTGGGTAGGCTCATGTAGGAAGGGAATGCAAAGAGCGTTGTGGAGAAATCGAGGAGCTTGGGGTAGCAGATGGGGCGTTGAGCGCTGACGTTCCTAGTGTTGTCCTTTTTATATGGTAACGTATTGTCGCTCCAAAGGAGCCCTGCGGCTAGGGGTGAGCAAAATCACCAACGCCTGTTCGGTTCGCCCCTTGCTCACCCCTACCTGAGGCGACGTGTGTGGGGTGAATCGGGAGGAAGTGGAAAGAGGCATAAAAAAACTCATGGTTTTTGAATCGACTCAATATCACCCTAGCATACCAGCACATGGTTTGCGCCATCACAAAACACACTACTCGCTAACTCCCTTCTTTCCTCCTTCCCTCCTTCCATCCTGACCTCTCCTCGTTGTTGATATAGACACTCGAATATGGCCCATCCTCACATCACATCCACCCATCCTCACATCACATCCACCCATCCTCACATCACATCCACCCACCCTCACATCACATCCACCCATCCTCACATCACATCCACCCACCCTCACATCACATCCACCCATCCTCACATCACATCTACCCATCCTCACATCACATCCACCCACCCTCACATCACATCCACCCATCCTCACATCACATCCACCCACCCTCACATCACATCCACCCACCCTCACATCACATCCACCCATCCTCACATCACATCCACCCACCCTCACATCACATCCACCCACCCTCACATCACATCCACCCATCCTCACATCACATCCACCCACCCTCAAATCACATCCACCCATCCTCACATCACATCCACCCACCCTCAAATCACATCCACCCATCCTCACATCACATCCACCCACCCTCACATCACATCCACCCATCCTCACATCACATCCACCCATCCTCACATCACATCCACCCATCCTCACATCACATCCACCCATCCTCACATCACATCCACCCACCCTCACATCCGCCAACCACCACATCCCCATTCCCTCTCTCGCCTCTCTTCGTCCGTTACAAAGACACATGCAGTCGCCCCCGTGATGCCCCCTCACCTCACATCCACCCACCCTCACATCCACCCACCCTCACATCCGCCAACCACCACTACTAGCCTAAGCTCAGCGTAGAGGAGATTAGGACGAGTTACCTGTTGGATCCAGGTCGAAACTATTTCCCTATCCCACCCTCACATCAAACACATCCACCAACCACCACTTCCCCCCTCCCTCTCTCTCACCTCTCCTCGTCCGTGACAAAGACACACGCGGTCGCCCCCGTGTTGCCCGGGCGGGCATAGGCGGTGTGAGTGAGGTACGCCTCCCACGTGCTGCCGTTTAAACACGTGTCCAGCCCCCACTTGCCCCGCTGTCCCGGCTTGCCCATCACTGAGATGATGCCTGTGAGTGTCTGTGCATGGGAGGACAGGGAGAATAGAAGACCATCAGGGTAAAGGCAGTGCGAGTGAGGTAGACCTCCCCCCAGGTGATGCGCTGCAAACACGTGCTCAACTCCCACTTGCCTCTCCGCCCCAGCTTGCCAATCACTGAGATGATGCCTGTGAGTGTCTGTGCATGGGAGGACAGAGGGCAGGGAGAATAACAACTAAGCAATAGCATCAGTGAATGTCATGAACACAAAGTGCATGGTCGTTGTCCCACTTGCCCCTCCGCCCCGGCTTGCCCATCACTGAGATGATGCCTGTGAGTGTCTGTGCATGGGATGGAGGACAGTTTTGAGGCGCCTCAAAACTAGGCGCCTCAAAACTAGGTGTCTGTGCATGGGATGGAGGACAGAGGGCAGGGCACTGCGAGTGTCTGTGCATGGGATGGAGTACAGAGGGCAGGGCACTGCGGCAACGACGACGACGACGACGACGACGACAAGAACGAAAAGTGTTGAATGGGATGGGACTCCCCTGGCTCCAAACCAGGCTTACATACCTTAAACACGAATTCAGCCTCATTATCTGCACCTGCCCACCCACATGAGTAAGCACGAGCCGCTGCAGCATGAGGGCATGAGAGGAGCACCCATGCTGCAGGAGGTAAGATTGCTAGTACCACACCAGCCTTACCTGCATCTGCCTGGCATGAATAAGCACGAGTTGCTGCAGCAGGTAAGAATGCAAAGTCCTGACAACAATCCCATCCCACCTGCATCGGTCCATCGTGGGTAAGCACGAGCTGCTGCAGCACGAGGGCGCGAGGGCAGCACCCATGCTGCAGGAGGCAAGGACGCTAACACCAATTCAACAGCATTACCTGCATCTGCCCCACATGGGTGAGCACGAGCTGCTGCAGCATGAGGGCGCGCTCCTTGCACCACACGCCCAGCGCCTCCTCCCTGCGGCTCTCGTATTGGGAATGCTTCGAGTAGAGCAGCCGCCCTGAGACGCCCAGCCCACACAGCACCCACGCCGCCACCAGCACTGTGAACCAGGGGGCTGGGCGGGGGGTGAGTGAGAAGGAGGCGAGAGAGGACACGGGTTAAGCTTAGGAGGGAAATCCTCGAAATGCAAGTGCTTGGAGTAGAACAGCCAGGCTGCCACGGCCAGCCCACACAGCACCCACGCCGCCACCAGCACTGTGAACCAGGGCGCTGAGCGGGGGGGGGAGAGGGGAGGGAGAGTGAGAGGGGGAGAGCGAGAGAGTGAAGGAGGAAAAGGGGTAAGCTTAGGGGTGCAATCCTTATACTGCGAGTGCTTCCAGTAGAGCAGGCATGCCGCAACCTCCACCAGCCCACACACACAGCACCCATGCTGCGACGAGCACTGTGCGCGAGGGCGCTGGGCAAGGGAGAGGGGCGAGCGAGAGAGGGGCGAGAGAGAGAGGGGCGAGAGAGAGGTGAGAGGGAGCCGAGGGAGGGGCGAGAGAGGGCGAAAGAGGGGTGAGAGAGGGGGAGAGAGGGGGAGAGAGGGGGAGAGAAGGGGAGAGAGGGGGAGAGAGGGGCGAGAGAGAGGTGAGAGAGGGGCGAAAGAGGGGCGAAAGAGGAGGAGAGGGTGAGAGGGGGAGAGGGGGCAGAATCAGAAGGGTGAGAGGGGGAGAGAGGGGCGAGAGAGGGGGAGAGATGGGGAGAGAGGGGGATAGAGGGGGAGAGAGGGCGAGAGAGGGGGAGAGAGGGGGAGAGAGGGCGAGAGAGGGGGAGAGAGGGGGAGAGAGGGCGAGAGAGGGGGAGAGAGGGGGAGAGAGGGGGAGAGAGAGAGGGGAGAGAGGGCGAGAGAGGGGAGAGAGGGGGAGAGAGGGCGAGAGAGGGGGAGAGAGGGCGAGAGAGGGGGAGAGAGGGGGAGAGAGGGGGAGAGAGGGCGAGAGAGGGGGAGAGAGGGGGAGAGAGGTGGAGAGAGAGGCGAGAGAGGGCAGAATGAGAAGCGAGAGCTGATCAGGCAGAGCAGCCACGGCCAGAGAACACAGCACCCACGCCGCCACCAGCACTGTGAACCAGGGCGCTGGGTGAGGGAGAGGGGCGAGAGAGGGGAGGGAGCGAGGGAAGAGAGGGGAGGGAGCGAGGGAAGAGAGGGGAGGGAGCGAGGAAAGAGAGGGGAGGGAGCGAGGGAAGAGAGGGGAGGGAGCGAGGAAAGAGAGGGGAGGGAGCGAGGGAAGAGAGGGGAGGGAGCGAGGGAAGAGAGGGGAGGGAGAAGGAAGAGCTGATCAGGAGAACAAACGGAGAGCGAAGGGAGAGAGAAAATTGAATGAGAGAAGAGAACGAGGGGAGGGCGAGGAAGAAGAAAAGAAGAATGAGAGGAGATACTGCTCCTACTAAACTAAGAATGAGAGGAGATACTGCTCCTACTAAACTAAGAATGAGAGGAGATACTGCTCCTACTAAACCACACAGCACCCATGCCGCGAACCAGATGGCTGGGCAAGCGAGAGGGGGAAGGGGGTGGGTGGGGGGACAGCGGATGAGGGGAAGGCGGATGGTGGGGCAAGGCAGATGAGGGGGAAAGGCGGATGAGGGGAAGGCGGGTGAGGGGAAGGCGGTTGAGGGGAAGGCGGGTGAGGGGTGTGGGGAATCGGGTGGGGGAATCGGGTGTGGGGAGTCGGGTGGGGGAATCGGGTGGGGGAAATCGGGTGGGGGGGGGGGGGTGTAAGGGGGGAATCGGATGGGGGGAATTGGGTGAAGGAAGACCTGTACCGATAAGGCCATGAATGCGAGGGGGGAAGGAATAATTGCACTTGTTCGATCAGCACGCCTTCCGCATTTGTTCCCCGCACTTTTCCGCCCTCATTGCGAACGCATTCCGCTCTCATTTCGCGCCCGTTTCCGCTTTGCGGCGCGGCGGTTGTCTTTTAACCCTTCGTGAAAGCCCGTAGGCGTTACAGCCACTCGCATTCCGCGCGTGTTTCCGCTCTCAACTCTCCGTCCACGCATTCCGGATTGGAATTTCCGCGCGCGGTCAATCCATTCCCGCCTCGCCAATACGACTAGAGCATTCATGTCGGAATGCGTGTCAAACTGCGTGTCGAACTCCGTGTCAAAATTGCTTATCAAAAGCTGCGGTCCCTTTTTCCACCTTTGTGAATTTTAAAGTCGACTAAAAAATCACTAAATTGCTTATCAAAAGCTGCGTGCACTTTTTCCACATTTCCAGGGCGAGCCAGGCGGCTTTGCATGGCGTCGCCACTCAACGAACCTGTTCAATTCTATACGAACCTGGTGAGGTCCCGCCGGCGGGAGCAATCGGGATCTGTTTTTAACATTCTACAGTACTGATCCTCGTGATTCACCACTCAAACCGAGAACGGTGCGCGCTAGGTTAGCGCCTCGATGTTGTCGACTATCTGACGTCCCCCTGTTCGCGAACTAACATGGATTTCTAAAGCGCGTGAACCACCCATTCGTTTTTGTCACTCTTACCCTGGAATAGCACTCCTGCGGAGAAAATTATGGGACCTCCCGAAGCATTATCATCCTTTTTCTCTCTCAGCGTCTTGAGGGCAGTCGCATCGCCTAGTATAACTCGGTCCTCCGCCATGACGGTAGCTTCTCTCGCAGACTCTCTCGTAGCCGTTTCTTTCGCCGACTTCTAGACGGCTACGCGGCTCGTGACGCTGCAGCTCGCCGGGGTCATAGCACTACTACCGGCGACGCTGTGACTGTAGCGAGGCCAGAGCCGAGACTTATGATGAATGTTATGATCAGTTCAGACAACGCGATGTGTGTGAACCGTGTGTGTTTACAAACTACTGCGTATCTGTGAATGTTAGGGCGCGTGAGGTCTTTGAAATTTGTAAAAGTTTATGTTTTTAGGGAGAATTTTAGTTTTGAACTTACAACGAAAGAAGTTCGAATTTCCTTCTATCGAAGTTTCGAACATCGGGCTTACCACACTGTAAAAAATCACACACACATACAAGGTCGAACCCCGACATTCGAACTTGTAAAAACGAGCCGAGCCGCACGTCAACATCATAGGTTACCCGGTTCGCTCGTCTTGACAGTGCGCCACGTCAACATTTTGCGCCTCGGTTTACAAGGACCTAGAGCTCCAACTCACCTTCCGCGCCGAGTGTGTAACCAGGGTACAAATAGCACCCGTGGCAACACCTTGTATACTCGTCATTCGCCCGCGTTGCCACATCGTGCTCGAACGTGCCACGATGCTGGACACGTGGCTACCACTGTGTGCACGAATTGTGGGGTGTCTTCGTTGTGCAACTTCATGCACTGGCGAAGCGCTCGCCCATTTCGCCAGCTGTTTGGACGTGCTGCAAATCACACACGCTCGCATGAACGTGCGCACGCACGTTCCCACCTCCGACTCAAGTCAAGTTCATATTTCAAACTCGAACTTTTGCAGAGCCCATACAATGCTTGGTTCGCGAAGCACCCTTCGCGAAATTAGCGAATAGGGTAACCACCCAAAGTTCGAACTTTATTTTGAACTTCTAAACAGACCACACGCGCCCTTAGGGTAGTTTTCTATCCCGTGTCAGACACGAAGCCAGACACGAAGTTGAGGTTGGGAAGACCCAAAGGACCTCGGAATGCTGGCAAATTTAGGTTCGGAAAACACAAACCGAGTCACTTTGTGTCTTCCGAAGCTTTGACCTGCTGTCTGACATCTCTTCCTCTCATCTTCTCAACCTCTCTTCCTCCCTTCCTCTCATCTTCTCAACCTCCCATCCTCCCGTCCTCTCATCTTCTCATCCTCTCTTCCTCTCATCTTCTCATCCTCCCATCCTCCCATCCTCTCATCCTCCCTTCCTCTCATCCGCCCTTCCTCGCATTCTCCCTTCCTCCCATCCCCCCGTCCTCTCATCCTCCCTTCCTCTCATCTTCTCATCCTCCCATCCTCCCGTCCTCTCATCCGCCCTTCCTCTCATGCTCCCTTCCTCTCATCCTCCCGTCCTCTCATCCTCCTTTCCTCTCATCCTTCCTTCCTCCCTTTCTTCTCATCCTCCCATCCTCCCGTCCTCTCATCCTCCCTTCCTCTCATCCGCCCTTCCTCGCATTCTCCCTTCCTCTCATCCCCCCGTCCTCTCATCCTCCCTTCCTCTCATCTTCTCATCCTCCCATCCTCCCGTCCTCTCATCCGCCCTTCCTCTTATGCTCCCTTCCTCTCATCCTCCCTTCTTCTTATCCGCCCTTCCTCTCATCCTCTCTTCCTCTCATCCTCCCTTCTCATCTTCTCACCCTCCCACCCGTCCTCTCATCCTCCCGCTCTCGGTTCTAACTCTCCACCATCCCACCGTTGGTCACATCCTCCCTCTCTCTGTTTTTCCCCCACTCCCTTCCTTCCATCCTTGTAAGTGCTATCATAACCTATTCATGTCCTATTGGATGGATGCAGAGGCTACTTCTTCTGCACAATTACCCTACAGTGCAAGATCAAACCTGTCTTCATCACGTAGCTTGTGCACCATGCGCTTGTATTACAGCAAAAGTTGCTTTGTAGTATAAGACTCGACGCTGTTGTAACACATTGTACACCACAAATGAGTCAACCTACACCACACCATGCGTTGCAATCAAGCTATCAAGTCAACATACAACACATCATGCCTCGCAAGCAAGTTTCTGTCAACCTACAACACGCCATGCCTCGCAAGCAAGCTTCTAAGTCAATCTACGGCGCTCCATGCCTTGCGCCCTATGCCCTCTGCACTCCCTCGCCCTACCCTCCTCTCGCTCCCTTCCTTTCAACTATCGGGATCATCACAATGATGCACTGCAGACAGCGTACACCTACCACACCTCAAAATGATGGATCGGAACCTCCGTGGGGGCAGGCCATGCTGTTCCACCCGCTGCCCCTCGGCTTCTCCCACAACGAGCTCAACATACGAGCGCTGCTTCCCACCTCCTTCCTTTCCCCCTCCCCCCACCTTTACCTCCGCCCCTCAAAACACTGTCCCTTGTGCCCCATGCCTTGTGCTCCTCCTTCTGCCCCACCACCAGGATCATCACAGCGTTGCAGATAGTGTGCGCCTACCACACCTCTGCAATGCCTCCGTGCGGGCAGGCCATGCTCTTCCACCCGCTGTGATAGTGGTGGGAGTGCGCGTGGCAATTGGCTTCCCCCGCACGCCGACGACCTGCTGCTGCGAGAGATGATGCACGCCGAGGAGGCTGCTGGGGTGGCGTGCTTTGCCGTTACTGCTGCCTGCCACAGCCTTGACAATGTGAGCCTTCTGCACACTCCCACCGAGAGCAGAGTGATGGAATGTGAGGGCGGAGGGATGGGATGTGAGGGCGGAGGGATGGGATGTGAGGGCGGAGGGATGGGATGTGAGGGCGGAGGGATGGGAGGGGGAAATGAAGGCGACGGGAAGGGGAAATGAAGGCGACGGTAGGGGGAAATGAAGGCGGCGGGAGGGGGAAATGAAGGCAACAGAAGAGGGAAATGAAGGCGACGGGAGGGGGAAATGAAGGCGACGGGAAGGGGAAGTGAAGGCGGCGGGAGGGGGAAATGAAGGCGACGGGAGGGGGAAATAAGGCAACGGGAGGGGGAAATGAAGGCAGCGGGAGGGGGAAGTGACGGCGACGGGAGGGGGAAATGAAGGCGACAGGAGGGGGAAATGAAGGCGACGGGAAGGGGAAATGAAGGCGATAGGAGGGGGAAATGAAGGCGTCGGGAGGGGGAAATGAAGGCGACGGGAGGGGGAAATGAAGGCGACGGGAGGGGGAAGTCAAGGCGACGGAAGGGGGAAATGAAGGCAACGGGGGGGGGGGTGGGGTGGGGAAGTGGAGGCGACAGGAGGAAGAAGTGAAGGCGACGGGAGGGGGAAACGAAGGCGACGGGAGGGGGAAATGAAGGCGACGGGAGGGGGAAGTGAAGGCGACAGAAGGGGGAAATGAAGGCAACGGGGGGGGGGGGTGGGGTGGGGAAGTGAAGGCGACAGGAGGAAGAAGTGAAGGCGACGGGAGGGGGAAATGCAGGCGACGGTAGTGGGGGAGTGAAGGCGAGGGTGGGGGAAGTGAAGGCGACGGGCAATGCATTTGCGACGGGATTTAGGGTTTAATCGGCGCTTTTCGACCTTCGTAATGCGCCTCCGATTTATCTCGACTGAACGCAGTTTGCCCATTCTCCAGGTATGCTTTACACCTAAGGACGTGTGTGAAACAAGGGTTTATGAAAGTTCACGTTTTTTACTCGATTTAAGCAGGGTTTTATAACCTGAACTTGAATCGATTTTGAGATGTGGCAAGGTTCGCACCGCGAGTGCAAATTCTTGTATACTCACAATCACACACCAAGGTGCGAATTTGCAAGTTCGAATTTACAGAGGGGGAACCGAGCCGCAATTGGAGACTGTAGGTTACCCGGTTTCAAGCACACCACAGCGCGACACGTCACCGGAGCGCTGCTAAAAAAGTGAGCCCTAGACCTCCAGCTCAACTTCACATCTGTGGCAGTTGTGCACGATACAAATATCGGCGAGATGAACCAATTTCCAAGTCAGCATCTCACAATGACTCTCATTCAGCTCGTGCGTTTCCTGGGGATTGTGTTTCAAGGCTACCTGCGATGCCTCGAACTTCCAATGCTCACTGCCATTGGTGCGGCCATCCCCAGGCTCGTCGCTGCCTTCACTCTGCGACAGACCCGCGTCTTCGTCCGTGGGGATCGCCAGGATGCCCGCATGCGGTGGTTCAAGCTGATTACCCTGCTGCCCGAGGATAAGTTTACGAGTACATGCGCGTGGACCGGCGTGTATTCATTTACCTCGTGTGCCAATACCAGCGAACCAACACCTCTACGCGGACGCATCCCATGTTCTCCTTCATTTTCGTCGCTATGGGACTAAACCGTCTCGGTCATGGTCTGTCATTCCGTCAACACGGTGTGAAAGCATGCTAGACCTCTTTTTTAATGCTTGAGGGTTGGTGTTGGGGAGCTGCAACATTCTTGACGAAGATGTCAAGAATGTTGGCGGGATTTCATGGCCCCATCGTGTGCGCTGGGAGAGACGCGCGCACGACTAGCCATCGTGGCACGAATTGTGCCACGTGGTGGCCATAGCGAGTTCAGCAATGCGCTGTGTCTTGGTTGTGATCTCATTGGCGCACGAATGAGTCGCGAGGTTCGCTGAAACCTCGTACGTGCCTGACACCACACACGTTTGGATCTTTGTGTTTGTGCAAGTTCACGAATTTTTCTGTATCAAGTTCACAAATGAGGGTTCGCACTTCCCAAACGGGGAATTTGTTTCGACTTCGGCGAGGCGGTTAGCGAACATTGGCGAAAAGGGTAACCACCAAAAGTTCGACCCTGATTACGAACTCCATAAAAATCTCACACGTCCTAATACTATGCACGCTTTCTCAAACTGTGCACAGTTTGACATGCACATGCTTTTCTGGGTGTGGGAAGGACCCAACCCAACATGGCAAGCGAGAAACATTTGTCGCAAATTGGTTTCGCGAGTGAAAGTGTCTCGCAACCCAACCGAACCTCTACAAGCCTGCATTCCGAACCTAGTTTTTAGCATTGACTTCCGTTGAGTAGTTCAAGTCTTGGGCTATAAGTGACATTGCGTGATCACAATCACGCACATTGCGTGATCAACTCAAAATTCGGCCCTGTTCGGGAGTTAGAGAGGAAGAGCAGAACCATATCCAAAGGGTCAATTTTACTAGGCTCGGAAGCCCAAAATTGCCTGCGACCCCATGGGGAGCGCGTGCTCGAGAGAGGAGCACAGGGAAAGATGGGGAAGGGGACTGAAATAGGCATCAGGTGTACACTGTTTCCATTTGTGTTCTGCAATCTGGAAATCAGTTGGATTCAGTTCAGATCCGTTCAGATCCCTTCGCGCGAAGTCGACAAAAATTGTGGTATTTATTTCACTCTACAACTGTACAGATGTTCTAGTCCGACGGATCAACATCGCCGCGCTCGGACTGTGTGGCGAACCCTTCAAACCCTAAGCAAAACACGATACTTATAGTCCCGTTTAGGAAAATCGCATGAAGAGTGGTTGTTTTGCTGCTAGTTTGTGGAGTCTGGCATTTACGTAGATTTGGACCGCGCTTGCTTGAACTTCCAGTCGCACGGTTTTCCACGCCGATCAATGTCGCATGACTAACGGTCAAAACAAAACAAATCCAAATATGGTTTTGGGATCGAATAGTAACACAAAAACTTCGTTTCTACCCTGTAAGCGAGATAAATGAGATGTCATCATGGATCGCATTGGAGACAGCGCGACAGGATTGGGAAGTAGTCGCGGTCAAGAGAAACAATTACTTACCATTAAAATGTTAAATATCGAATCGATGATCTCTTCATCGTTTTCTTTGAATGTTGGGCTGGTTTGAACTGGAGCCTCTGATTGGCTGCGGAGCTGATTCGTGCAATGATTCGGTCAAGCTGCAAATTTTCCCGCCAAAAAAGGGACTATAGGGGTCGGGCCAACCCTAGGCGATATTAAAAATTCTACTCAGGGGGGAAAAGGGACTCTCTCAACGAGGGCCTCTAACCTGGAACATCTGTACAAATGTTCTGGCTTTAGGTTCTTCCTATGATAGGCCATTTTTTCCCAACGACTAGATTTTTCATATATGTCCAAAATATAGCCCCCCCCTCTACAGTCTGTCAGAACATTATAGCTTATGCTGTTGTGTAGGCTATAGTGGGGTATCCCATAGGGGTACAACCCAATTAGGGTTTCATATATGTACTCACTTCATTCATAGTTGCTTCATTCTCGTTCAAATCTTCTTATGGTATCGAGCAGGTTCCCCTGTAGGAACTGCGCCTAGGGCCCACCACTTCGATTTTTTTTTTACTGCCCGAAGCGCACTCATCCCGAGTCGCGCCTCGGGCTATTCACTTACCGAGCCGCCCTAGCGGCCTTCTCTCCCCTAGCGGCCCTGCCGCCCTACGCTTCGCGGCCCCGCCGCCCTTCTATCGCGGCCCCGCCGCCCTTCCTTCGCGGCCCCGCCGCCCCTTCCTTCGCGGCCCCGCCGCCCTTCCTTCGCGGCCCAGCCGCCCCTCCTTCGTGGCCCCGCTGCCCTGCTATCGCGGCCCCGCCGCCCTTCCTTAGCGGCCCCGCCGCCCCTTCCATCGCGGCCCCGCCGCTCTGCTAACGCGACCCCGCCGCCCTCTGCTAAGCGGCACCGCCGCCCCTGCTTCGACGGCCCCGCCGCCCTGCACCTCGCGGCCCCGCCGCACTTCCTTCAGCGGCCCCGCCGCCCTGCACTTCGCGGCCCCGCCGCCCTGCTTCGACGGCCCCGCCGCCCTGCACCTCGCGGCCCCGCCGCCCTTCCTTCAGTGGCCCCGCCGCCCTGCACTTCGCGGCCCCGCCGCCCTTCCTTAGCGGCCCCGCCGCCCTTCCTTCGCGGCCCCGCCGCCCTGCTACAGCGGCCCCGCCGCCCTGCTACCGCGGCCCCGCCGCCCTCTGCTAAGCGGCCCCGCCGCCCTGCTTCGCGGCCCCGCCGCCCAGCTCACGCGGCTCCGCCGCCCTTCCTTAGCGGCCCCGCCGCTCTCCTCCCCTACCGTGCCACCCGAGCCGCTGCCCACTGCACCACCCTGCAGCGTGCACCCGAGCAGCCGCCCGCCGCGCCACCGAGTACCGGAGGAGCCGAGCCGCCTAGCCGCTGTGCAGCCGAGCCGCCCAGCAGCCGGGGCCGCTCAGCAGCCGAGCCGCCGAGCCGCAAGTACTTCCGAGCTGCCCAGCAGCCCGCCGCCGAGCCGCCGAGCCGCCCCTGCCGCCCAGCCGCCGAGCCGCCGAGCAGCCCAGCCGCCGAGCCGCCCCGCTGCCGAGCCGCCCGACCGCCCCTGTCTGGTGAGCACAGCCCCACTGCTACTGCGTGCCCTTCCCCCCACTGCTTGCACTGCTAGTCTGTCGTCATGGCCACCCCTAGTGTCCTCGCTTTTGACGCTGAGGGTCGAGCCATTGACTTTGAGGTCTGGGTCGACGACCTGCAGCTGTTTCTACAGTGCGATAGGGCGGACGGTCTGTCTCTCTTTGACCTCACCTCTGGCGCCTCTCCTGCCCCTGCTGCTGATGCTGACCCCACTGTTCGCTCTCAGTGGGCCACCCGCGATGCTGCTGCACGTCTTGCTATGCGTCGCCACCTCCATACCACTGAGCGCGCGCACTTTAGTCAGTACAAGAGTGCTCAGACCTTGTACGACGCTGTAGTTGCGCGCTACTCTTCCCCTGCCTCTGCTGCACTGAGCCGCCTCATGCTACCGTACCTCTTTCCTGACCTTGCTTCCTTTCCCACAGTCGCTGACCTCATTACGCACCTCCGCACTAGTGACACTCGCTACCGCGCCGCGCTTCCTGCTGAGTTCTGCGCTAAGAACCCCCCCCCCATGTACATCACTCTCTAT